ACTGATGCTGCCGCCATCTATGTTGTAGAAAAGGTAGCGACTTCAAACCGAAACTAGCACCCTTCTGTTCCGAGTGATGCGTGGGAATGCGAGAATGAAGTCGCTGCCAATGTTTATCTACAAACGTTGGCAACTGCAACCTGTAGTTTATAGCTGCGATGTCTTCAAGCAGCTCGGCTGCCATAGAGATAGTTACAGACGGCGTAAATTTCCGCAACCAACTGTCTACAAAGCAGGTTGCAATCTTTCAATCCTTATAACCGTTTACACTGAAGAAAACTGATGATGCTGTCCGAGCAGAAGCTTGATCCGTTTGAGCATGGTATTATGCGTGAACCACTGAAAGGGTACGGCTTAAAACTAGCTTGTTGGAATATCCAGCAAAACTGGGACTTTCGATTCGGATCGTCATTATAGGTGGATCAGATATTAGCCTTGGTGAGGGCGTCGAGAACGAGAGCTTTTTCGAACAAAATACGACGGGGCAAGTTCGCTGCGTAGGTAAATGTTAAACATGATGATGTTGCCCGATCCTCGGGTAAAGTCAGCATCTTTAGCTTTCTCTGATGCTTATTGGGCAGTCAGAGGTTTCTGCTGAGGGAGTTTTATCGACAAATGTTAAACTTTTCACCCGCACACGGATGGTGATAGACATCTCGGGGGCCGCAGTTGCGTTTGTTGAGCATTTCTTTACACACTGGTATATTTCAGCGTTTGTACGGCAACAGAGAGATTTAAAACCTGCAAATAAATCACGGGTTGTCAATTGCTTCCTTTGTGAAACAGCAGACGCTCACAATTCAAGCTCGCGCTTGATTTCGTTGCCCGCGGGACGCGATTTCTATCAGAAAATCTACTTTTTTTTTGTTCGGTTCCGCGATACATCGTAGCAGACGAACTCTCGTCGTCTGCTCCCGCTCCTCGCCGGCACCGCCGGAGCGAGGCATGACGGGATTGCATTTTGGCGCACTCCCGATTTTCTCGGTGCAGCGAGTGCATGTACGCGTGGGGTGTCAGCGCTGAAACGAACTCGGTGAGTGCAACCACTCGTGGAGCGCCGGCCGAAACGAACCCGTTCCACGCTGCGAGTGGGCACGCGTGGGCACGAGTGCCGTGAAACGAACTCGCTATTAGAGTGTACGCCGCGCCGCCAGTGACGTACAGTACTGGGGGCCCTGTCGCCTTGGCGCTGCGGGTCAGTCCCAGACATGAAGCTTTGAGGCTCTCCGGCGTGGGCCCCGGCGCCCGAACACACGTGTGCTGGGCTGTCCTTTTTTGTTCTTTTTTTCCTCAAGCGCGTAAAAGCAGAGGTCCAAAGTCCACTCGTCGAACAGCGTTCACCCACACCTTCTCCAATTTCCGGTCCGTTGGAAGCTAGTGAAAAAGCACCTCCGTGTTGCGCAGCGGGTTGTTTGAGCAGCCCACTAGCGCTACAAGTTGCACTCGACATCTTTCGAGGAAAAGCTGGGCAGTCTTTGGCGCACCGAGTTGCTCGCTAAAACGAGTCTTGGAGTCCTTACAAGCAAATAAACAAAAAGCCAAACCGAAGCTACACGGGCTATAGATTAAAGCAACGGCTAAACACGCCAATCACAAGCCGAAGTAGCGGTGGTAGCGGCTCAAAGAAGCGCACTCCGCGCAACGCCCGGACCGGAGGAAAAAAAGAGAACGATACTGACGTCACGGCCTAATGTTGCTTTAGCAATCGGCAACCCGCTGGCCGCCCGCTAAGGAGCAGCGGCTCGCGGCGGGTCGAATTTTTATTGTCGGCATTAGTTTAGAATGTGGTGTCCAACGGGCGTGATATTTTGACTGGGGTCGTATTTTGTGTCACTACAGTGATACCAGTAATTTATTTCATTTTGAGTTTTGGGCGAAGTTGCCCTTTAACACAAAAAAAAAAACGAGCCGGAAAAATTGACGTTTGCACATATAAAACTCAAACTCTCGCAAAATGTGCATTCGGGTGGCTCATCTTTGCTGATAACATTTCAAGGATTTTTTTCTTAGTATAAATGGGGCCAACAAACACCCCAGGGTTAACTGCGGACGTGTTCGCCGGTGACCGAGCTAGAGATAGCTGTAACTCGTGGCGCCATCTCCCGAGAGGCGCAGCAAGCAAACAAAGTAGACGAAAGGATGAGTCAAATCAAATCAAAGCTTTATTTTCCAGAAACACTGGAAGGAGTCCGAGACAAAAAGCTGTTGAGACAGCTTGACTGGGTCTGGGACCCCTACTACATTGGCAGCAGCTTGGTAGTGCACAACACTCTACTAGCGTAACATTTGATAAAACAAACAAAAAATTAATAAAAAAAAAATTAAAAAAACAAAATCGGAACTTTGTAAAGATTATAACGCTAAGTTAGGGGACAACGAAGATATAAGAGCGCAAGTTTCGTTTGTTCGTCTGTTCGCTGCGTATATCTGGAGATGGCGCCACAAGTTCGCTAACCTTGTCGTCTGTGAACACGTCCGCCGTTGACCCTGAGAAGCTTGCTGGTCTCATCTTTCACAGGAAATAAACTACGGCTTCAAATTTCACCACGTAAAATGCACCGCCCAGTTACACATTCAGTAATGTTCCAGCTTTCTACGTGCAGGCACCGACTTCTTCGGCTCATTTTACAGTGCTAACAACCGTTGTAGACAGGCTATAGTTGGGCGGAGACGGTTTTGGAGCTATGTAACGCCAACGTGTCATAAGAACATTATCCACTAGCTTTAACTGAAATCAGCTCTTATGCCACCTTGGCATCTTACCGAAGACGTGAATTATGAGGATTGAAATTATTTGCCTAGAACAGGACATCTGTTTGTACAGTTCGTTAGTATCTTGTATTGTTTTATAAATGCATAGTCTATGATTTTCTACTTTTCATTCCCGCCTAGTTCATTATTTTTGAAACACAATCTTCAGCCATATATCATAGTTATTTAAAGGTTTATTTTAATCCCTTTTTACACAGAACGTTTAGACACGAGTTAATTTTACGAGCATGATGTTAGCATTTCACATGCCCAAACGAACTTTGTTTACTTACAATAAACGATGCCCCCCACGAAGGACCCGGAGTTTAGAAGTCTTGGTCGCATCAATCGTAATCGAAGGTTTCTGAATGTTATTTATTCCATCTCAACGTCTAAACGTACAAGTATAGTTTGTTGCACGGGACTTCAGAAAATAGGCGCGATCGCTGATGTATTATCTTTTTTTCGTAATTTTAATTGGGGCTGCATTAGACCCGGCATGTATATCTAGACCCCAGAAACCGTCTCGTACTTAAAAAAATAAAAAAAAAGCATTTCTAGCTTAGGACATTTTGCCATCAGTTAGTTTTCGTACTGTAAAACTACGAAAGCGATGGAGCTCAATCGTTTTAATAAAGGATGAAAGCTGTCACTGCATTCATTTGACTATGCGGAGCACAAGTTCGTCTGCTTCTTTTGCAAGGGTTGTGATGAAGTCAGAACACCGAGTTCTGATTAGTTCCGAGTGAAAGATAGTGGGTATAGACCTTTTCCACAAGGGTGCCGCCATCTTGAATTGTCGTCACTTTCAGTATGGGCGAAAACATTACTTTGCCCTCACCACGCCAATAGAAGACATTTAGGATATAAGCCTAACCGTCACACTGTATCGTTTTGGCTCCACTCTATTTTTTTACTGGTTACAGGTTGAAACGTTTTACTTTTTTTTCGTCGCCCATACTGGAAGTGACGACAATTCAAGATGGCGGCGCCCCTGTGGAAAATGTCTATAGGCCCCGAAGCAACTTGCCTTTGAGGTCTACCCACTATTCTTCAATCTGAGCCAGTCAGAGCTCGGCGTTTTTCTGACATCACCGCAACTCCTCCGCAGGAAGCAGACGAACTTGCCCTTCGCATGCCCCGTATCACCTTACGATGAACCGCAACGGGCGCTGCCAGCCCTCGGAATCATTCCGATGCCGCGCGAGTGTTGCACGGCCTTCGGATGGAGGTGCAGTCACGCGCGGGGCGCGTGCAGTCACGTGATATGTTTGCGGCATTGGATTGGCCGGGAGGGGTGTCTCGTGACGTCCGTTAGACCCATGGATTGCAAGGTGAAACGGAGTGTCGTGCCGTTTAATGAGGGCACTACTAAAGGGGGCGCGCCAAAAACACCGAACCGCGTTTTGCCTGCAGACTCTTTTTTTTCCAATGTGCGCGCCATTCTTATCCTCAAAAACAGTAGTAACAAAAAACAAAAAAGTAGTCCGTCTTCTCGCAGAGCATTACTAATTTCCCCCTCTATGTGGAGAGATAAGGTATGCGTAGGTACATTCTAGATTAGATATATGTTGTCGTATCAACGTTTCAAACACTAAAAGCATCGCTTCTTCCTCCGACAACCAAAAAATTGTAAGGACTACTTCGTGCAGCGTATAAACAATGCGCAAAACTTCCTTTTATTTTCTTTTTTTTAGGTGAAAACCAGTATTGTTGTTGCTGCCGCCCTAATTACTTGAGTCCGCCTTTGTTGGGGCACGTACTACGAGCATATATTGAGCACAAGTAACTGCTCCATTCCTATGTGGAACGAGTGCTGCACCATCGCCCGGCAAGGGCTCGGATCCAGCCGCACGCTTGGTGCCCAACAAAATGGCGACCTCCGATGCTCCTTAATTGGGTCTTGGGAACGGGTCTGTTGAGTAAGTCTCCAAGGTATTGACTAGAAAAACTAAATTGTCTACGTCTGGTCCTCCGTTCATGGATTTTCTTTTGGGTGTCGCAATTTCGGGCGCTTAGTGCACAGCGGACGCAATGAAGCCTTTTCAAAAGTCCATCGAACAACGCTGGCGGTCGCCATTTTCTGGATGGACACGAAGCTCGTGATTGGATCCGAGTCCTCGCCGAACGCTGACGTCAGCGCTCGTGACCAATAAAAGCCGAGCCGAGTCCTCGCCAAACGCTAGAGTTACTCTGAAGCGTGGCTCATGGTTCTACCGAATTTACCTGACTATTTTTTTTCTCTGCAGGTTGATCACGGCGAGATATCCTACTTTATTCCTCGAGGAATAATACGAGGTACGGGTCCAATCGACCTCGGAGCCGTCGAGGTTCCCTAGTCGAATTCTTACTCAAGCATCGGCTCCCTGAAGCAGCAGTCTGCAGCACTGCGAGTGTCCGACGGATCTAAATATTAGTGAACTTACACGTAGGGGCAAAGAAAAACAAAATCTCGAGTAACCACAGGGATTCCGTAACGATTTTGAGCTGGTTCCCTTTGTACGAATCGATGGAATAAAAGAGAAAATACGCCGGAGATGCGTGCTGACTGAAAACTGATTTTCTTTCTCCTGACAAATCATCGGCAGAGGAGAAAAAGAAATCTAACCCAGTTTAAATAAATATTGCCGCGTGCGTTGACAACTATATGCCCGAATTCTTCCTTTGTAATTCTGTACTATTCTGGAAACTCTCAGCCCATTCTTGGCTCTCATCGAGTGTTCCGATGGGGAGCATTCCTGAACCATAGCCTGAACGCACCTTTAGGAACAGTCACCCTTCCGTCGCCAACACATGTACCTTTTTCTCTGAAGTATAAACCGTGTGTAAGCGATTTGGCGAGCGACGAGACAAGCGACGGCGACCCGCTTCGCTATCGCTCGTTCAGTCGCGCAGGCGAGGCAAGCCGCATGAAAGCGACGGGAGCAAGAGACCAAGGCGATGTGCGACGTTTTCTAGAAATCCAAAAGCCAAGCGACGCAACGAGCCACAGTGAGAAACCTCCGTCGCTCGGTCGCCGACTCTCGTCGCTGTCGCCGTCGCTCGTCTCGTCCCCGCCTATAATCCCTTACATGTTAGCGATTAAGCGAGCCCGCGGGCCTGGCTCGGGGTTCACGGCTAGATTCATGAAGGGCCCGGGCCGGTACGGGCCTTGCATTCAAGCATACGAGACAAGCCAAAGCGGACAAGCCGTATATTATTTTTTTTTTTTCGGAAAATGTGCTTTACAATCGCGTTCGAGGGGTTGGAAGAGGAATCACAGTAGGGGGAGAAACAAATGCTGAAGCATGTGTGTGTGCGTGTATGTTTTTGTACGGTCTGGTAGTGTGCAGCGAATTCTCTTCCAGAGGAATAGCGGGACGGCGTTCCTTTTCGTCCCCGGCGGCGCCGCCATCATACTATCGCTTCTCACCACCAAGACACACACACACACGCGCGATTACGGAATGCGCACCCTCGCCGGCGTAAACCATCTCCACGTGCGAGCGCGTGCATCCCCAATATGGCTCAAGAGGATCCCTTGAGGGGTGCTTTTCCTGAAAAATTCCTCGCTGACCGCCGCAAAAAACAGCAAAATTGGTTTACCTTTTTCTTTTTGTTTTTTTCTTTTTGTTTTTTTCGCGTCAACTGTGACACATGGTTTGGTTTACTGCTGCTTGTCATTTTTGTTCTTCCGTCCTTTCCGTGCGGGTTTGGTGGCAGAAAACGACGATCGGGGTAATGTTTCTTAACAAGCTGCCTAGGCCTGCAGATTGATTCAACTAAGAAAAGCAGGAAAAAAAGAAGAAAAAAAAGATGCACAGCGTTTAAGGTTTGGAATTTGTATATAAAACAGGTTCAAAGTTGGATTAACGAAGAAACCAGGTTGCAACGAGGTTAGAATTCATTAATAAGTCAGAAACATATTTTTAGATCTGATCGTCTCTTTGCATAACAAGTTACATCACAAAGTGCCAGCTACATGGCGGGATGTGATGGTTTGTGCTGCATGGGCGCCAAAAACTAGAAAACTACCTACATCTTGAATCAGTACCTGCAAATATCACGAAGTTTATTTTAAAAGAAATGTTAAAATCATTGCGAGGCGGTCGTATCTTACCGCCATAATTTTTACACTAAACGTGCTTATGGTGCAAGCAAACTGCAATATCACCTGCATAATTTCCGTAATAAATATTAACAAAATATGAAAGGAAGGATGACACGAGGACTGCACTTTTGTAGTATCAGACCTTATGCTGAAGGTCGATCAGCTACATCAGACAACGGCAAAGGTTTATTTTTTTTTTTTTTTTTTTTAGGGTACAAAGGGAAATATTTTTTTTTCTCTACGAAGCTTTATTTTTTTCTGGAGTTTTAGTCGCGCTACAAGAGATGATAATGAGACGAAAAATTCTAGGATTGTAATAAAGAAGTTTGTGCGGCCATTCCTGTTAAACATAGGGATGACTATGACAGACAGGATAGCGTATCAAAAGAAACTGCTTGAAGCCATATTGCATCGCAAAGTACTTCGCGTCTAACCTTAAAAATCAGGGCTTGGAATCTGTAAATACATCAGGTTGGAATATCGAATAAACCAGATTGGAACAAGGTTGGAATTGATAAATAAGCCAGAGTTGTTCTTCTCGATACCCCATTGTCTGTGTGCATACCAATTACGTTACATCACAAGGTGCATAATGGGATACGGAAGTCTGTGCAACATGTGCCAAGAACTAGGCGTTTACAAGATAACGTCCCACCTCTTGAATCAGTACCTACGATTATCACGAAGTTTATTAAAAAAAAATGGCAAAATCATTGCGAGGTGGTCGTATCTCAAAGCCATATTTTATTTTTATTATTTTTTTTTTTTTTTTCAATAAAGCCGGGGCCACACTGCTTATAAATCATACAAAAGACAGTCTGCAAGCGGATTTAAACACGAGCCATCACGAGATCTGAGTTTCGAATGCCGCATGGCAACGAGTACAAGGAGACGCTGGGCGCATTCGAACCACGGATATCGTGGTGACTGATATGTGCAGACTGTCTTTTGTACGATCTATAAGCAGTGAGACTCCGGCTTAGAGGTGTTTCTTAGTAGAAGCAAACACCACACTATGACAGTTAAGTATATAGAAATCATGCTTATTTATTAGGGTGTTTTCTTGTGTTAGAACTTTCCAGAGTTGCGTCGGCATTGTTTTTTTAGCTTTTTTGTGGGTGTCGGCGTTTTGGAGGGAGCGTTTGCGTGGGCAGAGCGGCCGAGATGCGGGAGCAGCGGTTCCCCCGCCGGTCGTTAAGAAACGTCTCGGATTTCGGGACAGATCCCTGGGACAGCCCGTTCTTGCAGCTGCTTGCGGCTTTTAGCCGAATGTGCCTGTATATGGAGGGTTTTGCCGCTTTGTATAAAATTGTCGCTTTTTGCCCGATACAATAACTTAGCGGTTGGCGCCAGTCAGGCTGGGAAAATTGCAGAGAACAACTCTACGAGGAATTTAGGTTTGATGGTTGGGACGCCAGGATGACAGCTCGCCGACCATTGGAGAACAGTGTACCACGTGTGAGTGGTGGAATTTGAAGAGATTGGTCGGTTTTTGAGGGGAAAGGAGGCCCCTACGGGCCTACAAAAAGAGCGCGGAGAGGATTTTGAGGGATTCGGACTTTGGATTTGATGGAGAGAAATTGGGGACGGGGGTCGAGACTTTAGACGGGGCAGAATGATTTCCCAAGTTGGGACTTGTAACTAGAGTGTAAATAAATGCACATAGTTCTGTTCAAGCAGTGAGTCGACCCGTCACTCAGCGACGTTCGTGCCACCACGCTCCAGACCATCGAAGCGGAACCTGCCTCCCACACCACCGGGAGGACTTTAACTATGACCCGCATAACTTGCGCAATAAATAATAAAAATATTAAAAGAAGGACAACACGGACTGCACTATGTAGTATCCAACCTCGCGCTCAGGCTCAAAAGCTACGTAAAACAACGTGCGGAGATACAAAAATGTACAGCTTGATCATTTTTATTTAGGAAAATTAAAAAAACAAAATTATGTAAGGAGGTAAATTATTTCTGGAAGTTGATACGTGCTACAAATTGCAGTCAAATATATCAAAAGCCGCGCTTGTTGCTGCAGCCACAACATGTCGATGAATATCTCAAATTAAATAAGCATCACAACTTGACTGTCCACC